TTTGTTGGGGGGTGTAATGTTTTTTGGGGACTGTAAAGTTGTGGTGAAATGTAAGTTTTGGTGATGTAATGTTGTGGGGAACCCGTAATTTTTTGTGGTGGCTTTAATGTTTTTGGTGGCTGTAATGTTTTTGGTGACTGTAATGTTTGGGGCCCGTAATGTTGTGGTGATGTAATGTTGTGGTGGCTGTAATGTTGTGGTGGGGTGTTTTAAAGTTGTGGTGTTTTGTAATTTTTGTGGTGACTGTTTTGTTTTTGGTGGCTGTAATGGTTTTGGTGACTTTTAATGTTGTGGGGGCCGTAAGTTTTGGTGGGGCTGTAATGTTGTGGTTTACTGTAATGTTTTTGGGACGTAATGTTTGGTGGCGTAATGTTGTGGTGGCTGTAAAAAGTTGGGGGGTGGCCGTAATGTTGTGGTTGGGCTGAATGTTGTGGTGGCTTTTTAATTTTGTGGGGGCTCTTATGTTTGGGGTGGAAGGTAATTTTTGGGAGTGTTTAAAGTTGTGGGGGGAGGTAATGTTGTTTGGTTTGGGAAATAATTGTTTGTGGTGGCTGAATGGTTGTGGTGGGGTGTCTGTTGTGGTGGGTGTAATGTTTTTGGTGGGGTGTAATGTTGTGGTGGCTGTAATGTTGTGGTGGAGGTAATGTTTGGTGGAGGTAATGTTGTGGGGGATGTTTAAAGTTTTTGGTGGAGGTAATGTTGTGGGAGATGTAATTTTTGTTTGGGGGCTGTAATTTTTGTGGGGGTTTTAATGTTGTGGTGGCTGTAATGGGTTTTGGGGGGATGTAAAGTTGTGGTGGGGTGTAATGTTGTGGGGGCTGTTTAAGTTGTGGTGGCCTTTTAATGTTTTTTGGGGGCGTAAGTTGTTGTGGCGTAATGTTGTGGGGGCTGTAATGTTGTGGTGGCTGTTAAAAATTGGGGGCTGTAATGTTGTGGTGGCTGTAAAATTTTTGGTGGATGTAAGTTTTGGTGGCTGTAATGTTGTGGTGGATGTAATGTTGTGGTGGCTTTTTGTTGTGGTGGCTGTAATTGGGGGTGGCGTAATTTTTGTGGTGGATTTTAATGTTTTGGGGCTGAATGTTGTGGTGGCTGTTAAAAGGTTTTGGTGGATGTAAAGTTGTTTTGGCTGTAAGTTGTGGGGGGGTGTAATGTTGTGGTGGCTGTAATGTTGTGGTGGGTTAAAAGTTGTGGGGGCTGTAAAGTTGTGGGGGATGTAATGTTTTTGGGGGCTGTATGTTGTGGTGGCTGTAATGTTGTGGTTGGGTGTAATGTTGTGGTGGCTGTAAAGGTTTTGGGGATGTAATGTTTTGGTGGGGTGTAATGTTGTGGGGGACTGTAATGTTGTGGTGGATGAATGTTGTTTGGGGGGAGGGAATGTTGTGGGGGCTGTATGTTTTTTTGGTGGTGTTTAAAGTTGTGGTGAAATGTAATGTTTTTTGGGGGCTGTAATGTTGTGGTGGCTGTAATGTTGTGGTGACTGTAATGTTTGCTGGAGGTCAATATTTTGTGTTTATCAGGTAGGTGCTGGAGGCGCTGCCGATCGTTTGGGATTTGTGAAGCTAACTTTATTTCGCCAGGATAAAGCCGTGTACGGATAAGAGAAAGAGAGAGAGAGAGAGAGAAAGAGAGAGAGAGAGAGAGAGAGAGAGAGAGAGAGAGAGAGAGAGGGGAGAAGAGAGAGAGAGAGGGGGGGGGCTCGCACTATGCTTCCTCATGGTAGAGCTCTAATAGTAGTTCTCAATGGGACATTTAACAAGACATCGTATTGGTGCTAGTTTTCTGCAGGGAAGTGTGCTGCGACCATTGGACCATGCATATGCATATACAAGAGAGGAAATGTCAGCTACTCTAAGTTACATCAATCACCAGCTTACAGGTATTTCAGCTTGAAGAAAACATATATGATGCTGGCCTCTAGGCTCCACATTACCATCCTGGTAATGTGGAGCAGTGGTAAGAATGAATGGCAGAGTGTTGGTACCTGAGGACGAAGTTAATATACTTGGAGTGTAATTTTACTCCAAGCTGTCTATGAAGAACAACATTGTGAATATTGCAAACAAGGCGACCAGGAACCTTACGGCACTTAGATGTATCTCGCCTCTGCTTGACAGCAGAAGCATGCAAGATTCTGTACGAGGCATAAGTACGATCACACCTTGAGTATGCTCCACTTTCTTGCATTACCTGCCTCCCCCCTCTCGTTTCATCTGGGACTTCTTGGCAGAACAGAGAATAAAGCAGGACGACTCATCTCTCACCAGGACCCAGCCTGGACAGATCTGTCCTTTCAACAGAGCCTTCAACACAGGAGAGATATGGGTGGCCTTACTGTTATATACAAGGCAGTATTGTTAAGGTAGAACACTTGTCTCCATTCCGAGGACAGCGAGAAGTTTCTGTACAAGAAGACGGGCAGCAAACAACAACTACACTCTGACTGTATCCTTCTACAGAACATTTCATCTGAGATTTCTAGGATGTTTAGAGTCTGGAACATGTTCGTACAACACAATGACATTAAGGAAATAAAGTCAGTTGACCAAATGAAATCGCTGACTCACGGATGGCTTTAACTTCACCCTGTTCCATATTTGTATATTTCATAGCAACAAAAAGGCTTTCAAATAAGCTTGTAAATAAAGTTAGGAACCCTTAACCTAATTTTGTAAAACCCTATGTAAAAGAGAGAGAAACAGAGAGAGAGAGAGAGAGAGAGAGAGAGAGAGAGAGAGAGAGAGAGAGAGAGAGAGAGAGAGAGAGAGAGCAGGTGGTATTGTGCCTTATACAAGACCAGAATAGAGAACAGAGCAAGACGTCTCATCTCTCGCCTGGACCCATCCTGGATAGATCTGTCATTTCAGCAGAGCCTTCACCACAGAAGGGATGTTTGCGGCCTTACTGTTATGTACAAGGCCAACATTGTTAAAGTACCACACTTGGCTCCACTTCGAGGACAGCGTGAAGCAAGCTTCTATGCCACAAGACGGGCAGAAAGCAGCAACTTCACTCTGGCTGTACCCTTCTCCAGAACATCACTTCATGTGAGATCATTTATACCCAGGATGACTCGAGTATGGAAGATATTCGTACAGCATTATGATGTCAACGAGATAAAGTCAGATGATCAGATGAAAATGCTGGCCCACAGATGGCTCCAACTTCATCCTGTTCCCTACTTGTATGTCTCATAACAATAAAAAATGAGCTGATGTAGGTAACAGCTTTTTAGCTTGTAAATAAAGTTAGGAATCCTTAACCTGTAAATAGCTTGTCAAGAATGTTAGGGATCCTTAACTTAACCTTGTCAAACCCTGTGTAAAAAAAAAAAAACTACCTGTCTTCCATTCTGCCTGTCTGCCAGCCTCTCTGCCTGCCAGAATCCCTGTTGCCTGCTTACCTGTCTGTCTGCTTGCTTTCCTGTCTGCCTAGCTGCTTTCCAGTGATATCTGGAGACTTTCCTCTCCAATATCTTGTTGTAAGATACGGGAGAACAGCTGGGACTGGACCCTCAGGGCTCTGTCTCTGTCTCTCAGCTCAACTGGGGTTCCCTCAGGGAGCTCCAGATCACTGTGCTGGAGCGTCCTGTGGGAGCTGATTTCTAATCACAAGTTATAGGGGAGAGAGGGAAGGGGGCAGGGGGGTAGGTCTGGGGGTATGGAGGTCTTTATAAACTCAGGTTGGGGGTGAGAGGGCTTAGCTAAGAGAAGAGTCTAGGGAGAGGTTTTGCCGAGTGCACAGCTAAAGACTCTGGTTAGGATAGCCCTCAGGGTGAGGTCTTGGGACCATGGCTAGGTGGTGATGGTCGTGGTCCCGGGTGACGTTATGGGACCCCTGCTTATGCCTACGGTTAATATTCTGCTTCGTCAGCCCTAGCTCAGTATTCTTGTATTATCCCGCAGTATACTTTTTTTGAT